AATGAACAGGTTGGTCTTCAAGGTGCTTCAGGGTGACCTGTCATGTTTAAATTAATTTAAGTGTGATGTTACCTCAAATTCACACAAGCAGATCTGTAAAAATAGAAAGGAGGCATGAACTGTCTCCTAGTATGTCTGTGTTGCCTTTCATAATGCCTTGAGTTCAGTTACCAGTACTGGTTTATACAAGCCCTTTTCTTGCACTTTCCTGTTTTGTAATACTCCAAAATCTTGCCATAAGGGAAGTGCAGAATTTGCTTAGCATTTTTAATCTAATTCTAGGACCTTGTTGACATGGTTCAGTTGCAAACCGGAGTCTATTCTTGAAATAGCTTTTAGTCTCACGTTCTTGGGAGAGATGAGATTTTATTCATACATGTTTCTACTTATAGGTGAGGAATCTGAAACTGGAGCATGAGCAAGAGAAAAACAAGATCTTATCTGAAGCTTTAGAAACGTTAGCCACTGAACACCATGAATTAGAGCAGTCACTAGTCAAAGGGTCATCACCTTTGAGCATCCTCAGTGAGGAACAGTTCTATGATGCTGTTTCAGGTAAGCATGTACTCAGTAAACTAAATCTGTATCAGAATGTGAGTTTCTTTATATGCTCAGGGTCATGTAATGGTGGCATAATTTAGCACATTTGCACTACCAACAGCAAAGAATTTGCAATATATTGCTCCCAGTGAATTTGCAATATATTTTTATTTTTATTGTGCAGTGTTTGTGTGTGTGCATTTTACTGTGCCAGAAGACTATGCCAAACACAACTTCAGCAATAAGGTTTCCATTCCATCAGTGGGCATATATATATAGGAGATTGGGAAAGGTTCTTTTGAGGGGTGGAGGGTACTGCAACACCAGTAGCTAAGCTAGTTGTGAGATTTGGGGTTGCTTCAGTCCAAAAAAGTAAATTTTCCAAGTTCTGAAGTATGTAAGCCTTATTCATAGCACAGCTTAACTTCTGTAAGAGCTGTGCTTACTCCTGGGCTCAGTGTCATCAGTTCCTCTCAATCTTATTTTATTACAAGCACCCGGGGACAAGTGTAATTCAAAAGCTAAAACTTTGCTTTGTAAAGGCACTTAAGAATTTAAAGGTGAAGTAAACATTTCAATTCAGTTACTAAAGCACAGATTATAACATACCATAGGTGATTATTATGTTGTAGTGCTAAAATTCATTTGATTAAATTTAATTAAGACTAACGTATCAGATATAAAGAGAAAGGCACTGTAACAAACTATCTGTGCAAATACTGTTGCTGCTATTGAAACCCTGCAGCTGGCTACAATTTCAGAGTTACCTTAGAATGAACAAATAGCTGTCCAGGCCATATCTAATGTGCAAAGAGAGAGTCTGGAAACAAGAACCAGAACTTGCAAACAAGAACTAGACCTCTCAATCAGATTCCCTTTTGTGGGAGAGTGACAAAAGGAGAGGAATGGGTTCTGTGAGGTGTAGAATCTGATCGGTTAAGCAGAAAGAATACTACTAAGCTAATCTTCCTTTTGGAAGCTTTTCTAAGGGAAGGGTTTGACATAATGTTCCCATTTATCATAAACAATTTACAAAACCCATTGGCAAGATCAGAGATCAAGAGGTGGTTTAGAGAGTGAGTGGTTTAGCCCTGGTATAGAACCTGTTGTGTGTCTCTAGGTCAGGGGTAGGCAACCTAAGGCCCGGGGGCCGGATGTGGCCCCTCGAGGCCTTTGGACCGGCCCCAAGCTGGTCCTGCCGCCGCCGCCACCCCCCGCCATGATGATATTGATTACTGTTGTTATTACTTGTTCTTGGGGGTTTCTTGGCAAAATCTCCACAGGGGTTTTGCCATGGCTTTTCTGGGGCTAAGAGAGTGTGCATGCATATTTTTTTAATATTTTTATTTTATTTATTTATTTATTTATTTATTTTTGGTGCTTCGGCCCCCCAATTGTCTGAGGGACAGCAATCCGGCCCCCGGCTCAAAAAGATTGCCTACCCCTGCTCTAGGTTGTGCCACTTCTTACCAGATACCAGGAAAATGCTACAGAGTTGGTTGTGGTCTACCTGGTGACTTCCGGTTTTGTTCATGATTATGTTGCCTGACATACAGTTGTTACTATTTTTCTTTTAAAAATGCTACTCTAAACACAGTTGTACAAACCAAAAGAAAACATACCTGTGCCTTAAGCCAGAGGTGGCCAAGTTTCAGATTTGGTAGACCTACTTTGTTGAGTCTCAAGCTCCACCAACCAGCAACAGAAGTCATAAACTTAGAGCTTGAGCATTATAAATCCCAGGGATTTGTTTTCATTGCCAGAACTGAGCTGAGTTTACAGTCCTTTTTCTTACACACAAGTCTGTTCTTGGTTACCTGATGCTTCCCACCCTCCCCCATTTCAGAAGTTGTAGGTGAAAATCATTTTGCTGTTGCTATTTTTAAATAGTTAGGAATCAGAAACCCTTCCTACTACAGCAAATTGCCATAAATGTACCAGTAGATCCCAATCTCTTGTATACACCCTTGCCTTACGTGCTTCCTGACAGATAAAAATATAGTGTAGAAAAATTCAGAGGTGAAAATGTGGCAAAACTCTGGAAGTCATTCTGATTGGGGGGAAATAAGGCTTTCTGGGATATTACAAATGTTAGGATGCATACAAATGTAATACTGATGTCTAAGAGAAGCATTTGTTGCTTAAAATTATATCTAAGCCTGTCCTGGAAATATAAAAGCCTGTGTAATCTGGTTCCTTTTGGTGAGTAAAAGTCTAGACTCCCAGCTCCTTAATGTCGCTATTAGTATAAAAATATGATTTATTCTATCTCTAGTAAAGCTTCATTACCAAATCCAAGTGAATACTACCTTCAGTATTTTGGAAGTACTGCCATTATTTTGTTGTTGTGTGCGCCTTCTTTCCAGCTTGTAGAAGGCAAACTTATCATGGGGTTTTCTTGGCAAGATTTGTTCAGAGGAGGTTTGCCATTGCCTTTCCCTGAGGCTGAGAGCCTGTGACTTGCCTAAGGTCACCCAGTGGGTTTCATGACTAAGCTGGGAATTGAACCCTGGTCTCCACAGCCATACACCATTAATTAGGCATATTAAAATTTCTTGAGACAAAGAAAATAACTGGATGAGTATTGTGATAATTTGCTTTTAATAAAAGGAACTTAGATTTGCGACACCTTTTTAGAATAAACCTGGCTCTATGAAAGAGTTAATTTAGGAAACTCCTAATGCTGTGTGTCTTAAACTTGCAAAAAACAATTCTAATTAATTAAAGTAACTGCATTTGTATTTGGAGAGAGCCAGTGTGTTGTAATGTTTTGTTGGACTACAAATCTGGGAGACCTGTTGAAATCTCCACTCAGGCATGGAAATGCATTGGGTGACCTTGGGCAAGTCACAAAGTCTCAGCCTCAGAGAAAGGCAAAGGCCCCCTCTAAATCAATCTTGTGAAGAGAGCCTTGTGATAGGTTCCTCTTAGGATCACCATAACTCAGAAATGATTTGAAGGCACAAAATAACAGCAACATTTGTATTTGGCAGGTCATTTAGAGTGTTCTTTAGACTTCTAAAGAAGTGATCTAAGTTACACATACAGCACTAAGGGCCTTTGCAGACTGCCAGAAATAGTGCAAATTGAGTTCACTTTAACTGCCCTGGCTCAGTGCTAGGGAATCATGGGAATTGTATTTTTTTCTGAGACATTGAGCCTTCTCTGTCAGAGAGCTCTGGTGCCACAATAAACTACAGTTCCCATGATTCCCTAGCACTGAGTCAGGGCAGTTAAAGTGGACTCAATTTGCACTATTTCTGGCAGTCTGCAAAGGCCCAAAGTGCCTGTCAGCTTGATATGTCTGTTAGGAGAACAATCATGCTGCAGCTCGAAGAGGTCTTCTGATGTTTTAAAACAGTGTGCTCCACAATTAGCTTGTAAATCTTGATTTATCCAGTAGAATAGCCTGTTCAGCTAGATAGCTGTCTCAAAATGTTTACCTGCTTAGTTTGATTTTGGATTTCTTTTGCAGCACAAGCGAATATATTATAAAGAAGGCCTCTGTCTTTCTCCATTCCATCCCCACCTTCTTCTGTTATTCTGGGTGGAGAGATAGACATTGAATTCCATTCCCTAGTTAGTGTTGGAATTGTGACCACAAATTCTTGCAGGGAAGGAGACTGGGAGCTAGCTATCCATTGTGTACGATATAGCTCATCCAAAGAACACTCACTTTTCAGTTATCTGCGCTACATAAGTATTAAAATGTGTGGAAAATGAAAATATGTTCAGAACATCATAGCCTTAAACACTAAAAGGTAGGCAGGTTGTAAACAAGCTTCAATAAAGAAATTGCCTTATTTATGTGTTCTGAGTCATAGTGGTAGTCTTAGATTCGTAATATTAATTGCTGAAAACAGTCAGTGTTGTCAAGCTCTCAAAATTTTGCACTGTCATCTATGCATGTGTTGCGTTTTGATGTGATGTGTTTATAACACGAGCTGTATACATCACATGAGAGCTCTATGTGTCTTATCCTTGGTTCTTTTCTGCTTTTATCACTGTACAAAGAGAAAGTTAATAAGCTGGATTTTCCCTGACGCTAGAAGATAAAATGTGTTTTCTTGGGTTTGATCTCAGAAAGAGGGAAGGGAGAAAAAGGAGGGTTATTGTTGGTAATCCTTGAATTCCCTGGAAAGCTCCTTACTGTTCTCCGTATATAATAAAATTACTGACAAGTATCTATAAAATAGCAAATGCATAAGTTTGAGAGTGTAATCAGTCCTGAATTAGATGCCCAATTGGCCCAGTTGCTAAACTGCCTAGTTTGGCCTGGGAAAGTCATAGATCAGATTTTCCAGATGCTTTTGAATGAAGGTGAAATCCTGGACCTTTACCAGTTAAATTCTGACCAGGATGTGCTTCAGAGATACTTTGATTCTAGCAAAATTTTCTTCAAGGAAGCAGTTTGGGATACTGTAATGCCAGATAGTAATAATGCAAATGTACACTGAGATGGTATAGTGGTTTAGTGGTTTGAGCGTAGGACATGAACTCTGGAGATCAGGGTTCGATTCCTTGCTTGGCCATGGAAACCGAGTCATACCCTCTCAGCTCCAGAAAACCCAAGATAGCTTTGCCTTTGGGTCTCCATAAGTTGGACACTACTTGAAGGCACACAACAAACGTTGTTGCTAGCTTATATCTATAATTATGCAGTGCATATATTGCTGCCTTGAGTCCCAGGGCTGAGGAAAAGGGAGAATGTAAGAAAAGAAAATAACAAATAACATAAACGAGAGGGAAAGTATCTGTGTTTAAAGGCACTTATTTAACTACTAATACATCCACAACCAAATAGCAGTGGTAATTCATACTTCTTCGTGGACTCTGTGGCTCTAACATTTGGGTTACTCTGCATCTGCTCTGAAGATCCTGAAAACTTTCCAGAACTGAGCAGTGTTTTCATTGTTATATCACACCCTTTGGTGTGGAAAAAATGTCTTTAATCATTGGACTGGATTTGCTTTTGGTGAGTATATTTAAAATGTTCAGCTGTGTGTTTATCTTTTCTTGCTGGAGAAAATTATTTTGAAAGGGGTATAAGGCATGTATTGAAGATGTTTTAAACTGGGAGGTCTCTATATTGGATATTCAGTTAGTAACACAGAACTAATTTGTGTGAAGCACCACACTTCTAAAGGCAGATATGAAAGATTAAAAACAAGGAATTGCAACAGCTATTTTCTTAAACTGTGAAATGGGCCACTCTTATCTTATAACTTGATCCCAAACAGGTTTTTAATCCTGCCTAAGACAAAACCAAGCTAGTGTCAATAGTGGGTCACAGTGCTGTTGGCATAATCTAACTGTAGTTAAGGGCAGTGGGATTTAATGATTAAGAAGGGAAAGGCACAAACACACTATCTTGTGGTCTGTTTATTTTCCCTTGTTTGTGGTTGAGAGACAGAACAAATTGCATCTCCACAAGTTCAAAGTTTGGAGTGGGTGAGATATGTTGCTAATAGTTCATACCTGGCTGCCCCACTGACATTCACCATTAACATATACTCCTTGGTGCTGAACAATTTGCTCGCTCATGTTCTGCCACAGACAGTCTCTACCAGTGCTACGTTTTCAGTGGACAAATGCTGTCATCATTACAGCAAAAGGAGACTACTCAAATTTCAGTACTCTGTGTGAGGGAGGTGTCCATTACTCTGTGAAAGACTGTGGTGAAGTTTGTTTCATTGATGATCACCTGCCTTGCAGATTCAGAATCCGAAAAATCATTGAGTGGATTTGAAACTGTGACAACGTACTCATTAGAAGACAGCATGGATTCTAGTAATACAATAACATCTGATATGTCTGAAGAAAAGCCTTGCAAAAGTGGAGAGACTCTATCAAATGGCATCAAGAAACACAGGTAGGATTTTAACAGGTGTTAAGAGAGACTGTTACTTTTTTCTGGTGCACTGGACAAAGCTTGTCTCCTATCTACAAAATAGAATTGGGAATACTTCGGTCTTTTCTTATGAACAGTGTTGAAACAACTGTCTTTTAATCTGAGTATCTTTTTGGCCAGCATTGGGGGTGGTGAAATATTAAGTGAGTTAAAAAATTATGACTACACTGAAGACTAAATACATGAATTCTTAACACTCCATGTTTCTAACTCATTTAAATTTGTCTCATTGAAATCAATACCAGTCTCTTGTTTCTTCATGTTTTTTTAATGTGCATCTCTTACTGTATTTTCAGTTTTCAGTTACTTGATCTTCTTAGCGTTATCTGAATTAATTCTGTGCTAGTTTTAGCCAGATATTTCAGTATATATTTTAAACAAAAACATTTTTTTTAAAAGTCATTCTCCATAAACATGTAACATATATCTATTCTTAATTTTTATATGCAAAAGAGGACAATAGGTCCTCAGTTACATGTAACAAATACCTTGTTTCTCAGGTTTCAGTGCAGGGAGAATTTAATACGGTTACATTTATTTTAGCTTCTAATTTAAACATGGCTTAAAACTAATTTATAACTGGCACTTAACTGCTCTGTATATAGATAGTATTTTTTTCCCTTAAGTACTGAAAATAGATTTTTGACCCAACACGTTTCATTTTAAATGTGTTGCTCTTTCGTTTATTTCAATACCTGAATGCTTGCTACCTACCTCAGTTTCATTCATTTTGTTCAAGGCAAATGAATTTATAGCATTTGTGTGGAATGAAATGAAAGTATCAGAGGTTCAGTAATGATGATAGGCTTGGGGAAAATATTTCAGAATTTCTAGGCACAGTTAGATCTGAGCGTTTGGATTCACCACTCCTATGCTCTCAGCTTTGCTGTATTTAATTGCCATCAAAATATATACTTTCTCACATTAGAGGTGACAGCTGTTGTAGGGCAGTTTGCTCCATCCTATTTGCTAGTAGAATACTGAGAAATACAGTTGTGAAAGAAACAGAGCCAGATAATTAAGAAAAGACTGGTTAGGATACTTTTGTCAATTGATTTACAATATTTTTATGTGCTAGGAAGCAATGACAAGCTTGAGCAAGCTTTAAGTATAAGAAACAGACTGTAATTCTGGCAGGCTTCCACAAACCTTGTTGTAAACCTCTGTTGCCAAAACTGTAAACATGAGGTGACTAGAGCCTCCTTGTTCTCTCATCCCCTGATACTTCTTTACTCTCTGCTATGGATGTCTCCCTCATTAGGCTTTTTGACTGCTAGATTTTCATCTCTCTAATCTTGCCCCTATGCACTTACCACTCAGTGCCTGTTCTTCTCTAGTCAGTGAGGATAATTTTTTTAAAGTAGGGTTTTGGTAGCTTTTTAGTGGGCTTTTTGATATATTTTTTTAAACATTGCGAGAGGATTTTTTAAGAACTAGAGCTTTGATGTGTGCCTTCTCTTAATTAGCTGGTTCTCATCTTTTTGCAACTATATTGCAGTCTCTGACCCGTTGGCTGGCACCACTTATGGGACTACTTCTCCAAATGTATGGGTGCAGACTGTCAGACCTTTGTGGAAAAATGAGTCTAAATTTTGCTTGGAGCAAAATTCCTAAGGGTATAAAGCTGTTTATAATTGTTTTGGGATTCTTAAGACATTTACTTATCTTGTCATACAGTTAAGTTAAAGTTGTAATATAAATATCTGTGAACCATGTTTTGTCATTTTTTGTTTGGGTTTCTTTTTTGTTCTGTATTTTAATTTGTGTATGTGGGGGAAGGAGATGCTTGTTTTGTCTTTCATTGGTATAACAATAGACTTTATGGAGAAAGTTGTAAATAAATATTTATCATGACACTGGAAATGTAGTTCTGTTTATATGGTATATAAAAGAGATACCTATCCAACATTTGAAACAGGGATTGTATGCAACCTTGTATGGGAATGTATGCAACCTGCAATATGCAACTTTGCTAATAAGAAAGTAAGAAAGGAGCAGCTGGTCATGGAGTTGTATTTTCTTCTGACATGCCCACTTTGGGGTTCTCATGTTTAAGGCTTATTCTTATACTGCATATAGTTCTAAAGTGAAGATAAAGGTAAAATACCAAAATACATATAAATAAATCTGGAGTGAGTATTATTTATGTCACTAATCACAGTATCTTAAACCAAAGTAGGAAACTGGTTAATAGTTTATTATGAAACCCTCATGGAACATCTTTTGATGTGTAATAGCCTGAGGCAGTTTCCATCACGTTACTCTGGCATTTTTTACTTACGTGCCTTCAAGTCAACTTTGACCTGTAGTGACCCTCTCATAGGGCTTTCATAACAAGATTTATTCAGAGGATGTTTGCCATTGTCTTCATCAAAGACTGAGAGAGTGTGACTTGTTCAAGGTCATCCAGTCGGTTTCCAAGGCCAAGTGGGGATTTGAACCTTGGCGCTCCAGAGTCCTAGTTCAACATTCAAACTACTGCACCAAGCTGACTCCGTACTCTGTCATAAGCACACTGAAATCACATAGTCTCTGAAGTAAACAAGTAGAGGTAATCAGAGTTCCTAAAAAAGCCCTGTGGAGGTGAAGGGTGTTGTTGTTTTTTTAAATTATCTTTGAGATCTTTCAAAATGGCATTTTGTGTCACTGTACCCTAAATGGTACCAAGCCCTAAATGGTACCAAGCAAAGAAACACATTCTCTGGCCTTATCAGTGAGTCAGACATGTCTTGTGTGTAATTTAGGATTTATAGTGCCATCTCTACATTTGCCATCTCTACATAGTGCCATCTCTACATTTATGTTAATGATATAAACAAAAGGGGGGGAACCTATTCTTCCATAAGATCACATGTAAACTAGCGTCCATATGTGGGTTGATGTGGGAAGAAATAGCTCTAATTGGCATGGTATTTCTTTCCATCTACATAGAGATATAATTGAAAATGTGAAGGAAGTCCCCATCTGCCTAATGTTTCCATACTTCACTAGTATTGCAGGAGAAAATGAGTTGGAGGCCTCTGCTGAAATAGAGACCATCTGTCTTAGATGTCACCCATCAGTAGGAAAAAATGAACAGGAAAGATGCTTTCCTCCATCTTTTGCACATCCCTCAATTCCTGTACTTGTTAGTTTCTTTCTGGAGACACACATCTGACAATCCAAGTGAAAGGGGAAAGATTCAGATGTGAATCCAAAGTGGTACTCACATTTTAATATCAATTATTTGTAATACCTGCTTCTTCAGTGTTATCACAGAATGTTGTAGGATCTTGTAGTTGGGTGAAGAAGAGGATTTGAAAAGTGAAGGGAACATAAATCAAGCTAGTAAGGAATTCTAGATAGCTGGTCTTCCACAGTAATCCTAACATTGCTAAGAATATAATTGTTGTACAAGAGAAAAGGCCAGGATGTTCAGAGGACACAGCGAAAAAGAATGTCATTGTACACACTACAAATTATCCTGATAAGAATTGTCATATTGTGGAGTGTTGAAAGTGTATTCATATGACTGCTGTAGTACTTAAAGCAACTCTACAAGGTAGGTATTAGTCCTACATTTTGTACAGATTCTGAAAAAGGTAGCTTGCTTAAAGTGTCCTCTTAAGTTCCATTAGAGAC